ATCTATCTATCATCTATCTATCTATCTATCTATCTATCTATCTATCTATCTATCTATCTATCTATCTATCTATCTATCTATCTATCTATCATCATCATCTATCTATCTAATCTATCATCATCTATCCATATCTATCATCTATCATCATCTATCTACCTATCTCTCTGTCTCTCTATCTCCGTATCTTTATCTCCCTCTGTCCCTTCCAGTCTCTCTCTGAAATCAAGCAATGCATAAAATAAAATAAAATCTTGCTTTACTGATTATATTTTCATATATAATTCCCATTTTCTAAGATAATCTCAAAGAGGAAGTAATTGCTATTCAAAACTGTCTTTAATTAGGATTCAAAAGCCTAAAATGAGAGTACCTAGGATTATACACAATTGAATAATTTACAATGTCTAACAATTACAAAATTTCTGTTTCTAAAAGTGAATTTCAGGAAAGAACACAAGGTTAAAGTTTCTGTATATGAAATCATAATTACAGTGCTAAGCTGGCCTGTATACAGACTTTGTGTATGGCTAGCACCCCATCAAAACAGGGGACAGCACATTTTTTAAAGGAATTTGATGTTTTATTTTTGGAAGTTGATTGCAATAGTTGTTTATTCGTGTTGAGTAAAGCAGTAGTTGAGACTGAGTCATGCTTGACATGTGAATGAATGTAGCATACACATAGCAGTGTATTTGCTTACATCATTTTATCGGTAGAATTGCAAAGTCTTGAACATAAGCACTACCATAAAGACTGGTGTAAAATACAGCACTTTTAATCACTTCTGCATTTAAAAGAGGCTGAAATTATGTGTAGAGTAGACAAAATAAATTTTGTTTCTTGTTTGAAGGAAAACTAAATGTCCTCTCGACAGGCTAACCAATTAGTGGGCTCAATATGTTAAAATTTAAAACATAATTTACTTGACTATCCAAATAGCTTTATGTTGAAAGAAAATGTATATACATATAAAATCAATAATATATAATAATGTAATATATAATAAATATTTTATATACTTTTATGAAATGTAAAGTATGTCATGTATATAATGTACACACACACACACACACACACACAAACACACACACAGAAATTTCAATCACATGGCCAAATCTTTAAAGAAATTTTGCAGAACATTAAAATATTTATGAATAGAGTTTAAATTACTATGTTTTTGAGACTTTTACTTGATAAGCTATTTTAAAAATAATTTTAATTCTTGAATAGGATACGATAATATAGTATTAGTATCTTTTAAAAAAAATACGTAATATTTAGACATATATAATGGAGAAATGGAATGGGTATATGTATTTTTAAACATCTTTTTTTCTTACATGATGACCATTCATTCATTCTTTTTTGTTGCTAAAGGAAATGAGAGTGTGTTGGATAGTTTATTTTTTCTATCTCTGATGGTATTCATTTATTCTCTTCTTTTATTTTACATGCTGAGCAAAATATACCTTTGCAAATGCTACTTTAAGTGTTAATGTTCTACTTTAACAACAAAATAAGCAAAAAAGTTAAAAACCAATTTTTAAGTGTTTCAGAACAGAATTCTTATAGAATATCTAAGACACATTTAAAAATGTAACACTAAATATTTGTTTGAAATATATAGTTAAATTCAAATGATTGCTAGAGATAGAATAGAGGAAGAAGCACATTAATATTAGGTTCTCGTACACTTTACTGAAACTAATTAAATGTTTATTTACTTTAAGCTCATTGGACGACCAGCAATGCCAGCATATTGGAATTTTGGGTTTCAACTGAGTAAATGGAATTATAAATCACTTGATGTAGTGAAAGAAGTGGTAAAAAGAAATCGGGAAGCTGGCATACCATTTGTAAGTGGGATAAAGGGTTTGTGGGAATGTATACCAAGTTAAATATTGTCACATAATAATAAATGCAGGAAATTGTAAGGATTATTATATATGCATAAGAATTATTAAGCTGCATTTTAATTATAAAGTACATTTTATTAACATACATAATGCCCAGACCTATGTGAAATTTTGAGAACTGATAATGAGTTATACTATAACAGAATACATGTTTAACTGTGAACAAGGTCATATTTAGTTTTCTAGTAGACTTTATTTTTTAAAGTCTGTATACTTTTTATTTAATATTTAATGTAATGTGTAGGTTTTTTAAATACAATTAATCACATTATATTATAATACATATTCAATTATCACTGAAACAAATGTGAATAATCATAATGCTTTCATACTTTAGAAAAACTAGTTTTATAAAAAAAAATCATTACATCTTTAGTGAACTAAAAGGGATCTAAGTTCATTTACTTTTTAATAATTATATTTATAATACAAATTTATTGTACTTAAAGGTTGAAGTGATTGGAAAGTTATTTTAGTATAATTTATTGATATATACTCTGCTAATTTTTAGGATACACAGGTCACTGATATTGATTATATGGAAGACAAGAAAGACTTTACTTATGATAAAGTTACATTTAATGGGCTCCCTGAATTTGTTCAAGATTTGCATGATCATGGCCAGAAATATGTCATCATCTTGGTAATGACTTGTTATATGTTAACATAATTTTACTATTTATCCTTTTGTCAGTTAATAGATTTTCTATCATTTCTTTTTTCTATTATTATGTCTGTTGTGTCACTGAGTCAGCTCTGACTACTGACAACCCTGTGAATTAATGATGTCCATAAAGTCCTTTCCTCAAGAGTCCTGCTCAGTTCCTGTAGACTCATGCCTGTGGCTTCTTTTATGGAGTCAATAGATCTCATATAATTTGTCTTCCTCTTTTCCTGCTGACTTCTACTTTCCCCAGCTTTATTGTCCTTACCAAAGAACCCTGCCTTCTCATGATGTACAGGCTATAGGACAGTTTCAGCTTTTTCATTTTTGCTATTAGAAACCACTCAGGCTTAATTTGCTCTAGGTCCACTTGATTGTATTTCTGGTCATCCAGGGTATCCATAGAGCTCTCCTTCAGTACCATATTTCCAGTGAATCATTTTTTCCCCTGTTGGTCTTCTTCAGTGTACATAGTAATTGGGAAAATGAGTGGGTAGATGATTTTAGCCTTGATGTCTAATGACATTTTTGCCCTTGGTGATCTTTATGAATTCTATTATTAGGATCCTGGAATTGCCATAAGTAGTCGTGCCAATGGAGCACCATATGAAACCTATCAGAGGGGAAATGAACAAAACGTGTGGGTAAAGGAGTCCGATGGGACTACAACGATTATTGGAGAGGTAAATTATAATAATTATGAAAAGTGTTGCTCAGATTTTCTATTGTGCAGTGACAGAGTTTTTGTAAGTGTGTGTGTGCACCTATGCATATATTCACTATCAAATGTAGATTTGATATCTTAATTGTGTAGAGAAATTTTACACAGAATAAATATTCCAATTATCTCTAAAACAGAAGAGATAATTGTAAGAAAACAGATCATTTTTAATGCTATACACAATTAAAACTAAAGATAACAAAATATAAATAATTTAGATTACAAAGTTCTGATAACTTTGTATAAAATAATACATATATAAATTGAGTATTTATATGCTGTGTATTGTTTATAGTTTGTACTTAATCCTCACAGTAAAATAATAGTATAGTTATGCTTAACATTTTTAATTTACAGGTAAAAACATGAATTTGAGAGAGGTGAATTTCCTACTTATGAAGCCTATTAATAAATCACAGAATACATTTTGTTAAAACCTCTGTTGGTTATGGACAGATCAGATAGCCGATAATCATAATTTTGATGTAAAACAATATTATCTATCCCAGTTTATTTACAATTGAATTCATCTTGCCCAGTGTCATTATTTTAAGCAATAAGTAAAGTAATTCAAAGAAGCATCAATCTTAAAGAAACAGCATAAAATGTGTAGTGTTTAAAAGCATGGACTCTCATATGAGACTGCCTGGGTTTGAAGTTCTTCTCTGCCACTTATTAGTGGTGTGACCATGAACAACTTATTTAACTTCTCTATTCACCACTTCTCTCGTCTGTAAAATGGGTTTAATTGTAGTACCTCCTTCATCTGTAAAATGATGATAAAAGTAGTGAAAAATAAATGGTGTAAAAGTAATAAAAATGCTTTAAATATCATCCAGCCCATATGTGTCATATGTGCATTTATCAAATTAAAAAGTACATATACAAGGAGTTTTTCCCTTGAATTTTTTGGGAAACAGTTGCCTTTGGAAATGAATTAATAAAATACTTTCTTTTATCGAACAAGGACTATATTATATGATGTTTTTTTAACCTAACCTACTAGGGTGCTAAGAATTAAATTAAGTTACAGTCAAAATAATAACCTCATCCATCCCATGTTCTATTTTTCCCTTTATAAATGTTTCATGTTCTTACTCTCTCTTTCTTTACTCTCTTTTAAATGCATTTTAAAGTAGGCCTGAGATTATTGTAAATATAGATTGTGCAGGGAATACAACATTATAACTGTAATAATCCTTCTCCGCTCAAGTAGTTTGAATTCTCATCTATTTATTTTTTAAATTTATGTATAAATCTGAATGGTTTCTTCTTCTAGGTATGGCCTGGATTATCAGTATACCCTGATTTCACTAATCCAAGCTGCATAGAGTGGTGGGCAAATGAATGTAATATTTTCCATCAAGAAGTGAAATATGATGGACTTTGGATTGTAAGTAGCTATTTTAAACCAGTGAGTTTGGTTAATAAAAATAGAATAGAATTTTTCTTCCTATTAAATTATTACATTGACAAGACATATTTTATATTGTATGAACATAAAATTAAAAGGTCTTATAATATTTTTCTAGAATATATAAATATTATACCTGTTGTGTTCATTGGTTAGAGAAGAATAAAAAATAAAAGCTGAAAATAGAGATTTTGTTTTCTTCAGTGATAATTTTATAGAATAAATTTCATTACTGTTACTGAGGTGTATCTTTATGACTAATAATTGTTGAAAAATAGTCAACAAAATTTGAGGATAATCCTATTGTAGTACAATTCCAAAAACATTTGTTAAGTCTACAGTAGTCAAACAAATGCAGTAATGTGAAACTGGGAAACCCTTACCCTTTAGAAACATTTTAAAATAAGTCATAGAACAAGTCAAAATTGGCAATAGGTTAAGTGTTTTCTCTCAACATAAGCAACAGCAGCAAACAAAATCCTAGATATTTGATACATTTATTAAATGAAAACACTAATGTTTAAAAGTTTCCTTGGATGAAGTTTTATATCTGTAGGGATTGATGGCCTGCTGCTAGGTTTATTGTCTAGAATATTACTGGATTATAGTCAGTGATTTAGTGTTTTTTGTTATGAAAATTATAACTGCATTTGGGAATAAAATTATTTGGTGAACCTGAAATTCTGTATTTCAGGAAAAAAAAAGGCTAATAAAGCTGAAAACAAAGAAAACTTCAGGGATTTTGTTCAAAGATATTAGAACAGTCCAGAATTTTGGAAGGAGAGATAATAAGCATCATAGGGATAGCTATATTTTCTTTGGCTATTTAGGTCCATTATATGTCTATTTTCTTAAAGTGCTCAATACTCATTGTGTCATTAATTAATGATTGAATTAATTTTATTTATTTATTTATTCATTCATCCATGCATTCATTCATTCATTCATTCATTCATTCATTCATTCATTCATTCAAACAATTGGTTAGATAACAAGTCTTTATTTTGTGCCATCAATACATCGGGCATGCTGTGGGTAACATAAAGATAGGAAAATTATGTTTTCCATTGACAACAAGAAATTGAGTACCAGGTTAAGCATAATTGGCAGGATTTCTGTGATAGTAATAGAATGAGATGGAGAGGCCTTAGTTGTTTGACAAAAATTCAGTGAGATCATGATGATAATACCTAGCTTCTGGTAGAAATAACAAAAAAATACACTCTGCTCTTGAGTTTTGTTTTCAATTATAGCTCTAATTTCAATTGTATTATTTAATTTAAATTAAAAGTTTCTTTTTTTCCTTTTTTTGCTTACCTAGGAAACAATTTGAGTCCATTAGAACAGAGTTAGAAGTATAAATGACACTTTAGGAATAGTGAAAGAGAAGCTGGATGTACTGTAGAGAGAAAACTCCATTTCCTGCATCCTCTCACGATTGAAATACCTGATTCAGCCCTAAAATAGAGAGGGAATCGGAAGAGGAAGATCATCAGAGAAAGGCAGAGTTGTTCTGAGGCTAAAACAGAAGCATTTTGACTAATGCTTAAAAGAACAGAACAACAGAATATTATTTTTCTCTTTATAATGACTTGTTCATACCCAAGGTAGAATCAAGTAGTGAGTATAGATAAGCAAGTTTGTCTTTAGCTTGGTAGCTTATATTTGTCTACTGAAAGCATAACAGTATGTTTGCCTTAGATTAAAAATAAATTTGCAAATAACTTAGATTTATATGATTTATCATTACTTCAAATCTGCTGTTCTTCATTTTACATCCATTTAGGACATGAATGAAGTTTCCAGCTTTGTTCAAGGTTCAACAAAAGGATGCAATGACAACAAATGGAATTATCCACCTTTTACTCCTGGTAAATTTCATTTGGTTATCCGCTTACCATTAACTGTTGAAGGGTAAATTCTAGCATATATATTTCTAAATTACAAAGTTTGGTAAAATTTTGAGACCCTGAAATCAATATGTTTGGTTGTTTTACTTTCAGTCAAAATATTTATGCCTAAGGAAAGGAGAATGATTTTAAATTTTGATATAGAATATTGATTTATTTTTATTTGCCGGTGATTAAATAATGAAACGAAACAAAATTTGTTTGAAATCATAGCTTAAGTGATCAAATTTTTTTCATAAGCACTTCACTGTAACTCTGAGCAATTATTAGAAGGTATCTGATGAGAATAATTACATCTCACATATTCTGAAAACCTTATTTTTAATCGTTAAATGTGGGTAAAATAAATAACAAAAGAAAAAGATGTGCTCTTAGGAAAATAAATTGCTACAAGGACATCTAAAGAAAGATGACAATAATTATTGCAACATGATATATGCTTGCAAATTAAAGCACAATGAAAAACTGGAAAAAAAGATTTAAATGGTTTGTAATTGTGTGGCAGTTCTACATGTACAGAATTAGATAATATTTAAGTAAATTATTCTATAAAGCTTTAAAATGGAACTATAGATAATTGATATACTATATATATATATAAAATGGTTATTTTTTCCTTTGGATTTATTTATTATTGAAGTTAGGAAGCAGAGTATTAGTGAAAGTGCAAATTTAATTGTTAATCAACAGGAGTGGAACACAGAGACCTAGTTAGAACTTAACTTAAATTGTCATTTTTATTGTGTTTTTTTAACTGAGTATGGTATTACATAACATATCATTTAAGGGTTATAAAGATTAAAATAGCAAAAATCTCTCATTATAGAGTTTAAAATAGCAAATAATTTTTAGAACATATGTCATATATTTTCTCCAAGATATTCTTGACAAACTCATGTATTCCAAAACAATTTGCATGGATGCTGTGCAGACCTGGGGAAAACAGTATGATGTTCACAGCCTCTATGGATACAGCATGGCTATAGCCACAGAGAAGTAAGTAGAATTTCATTCCGAAAATTCTTTCACATTTATTGCTAGCATATATTTGATAACTTACTAATAGCAAGAGTAAGAAAGCTAATATTTTCATGGTAGAAAAATTAGTATATTAAAAGCATCTGTTATTTTAGTATTATTCATGAATTTGGGACTTAGTTACCAAGAAAACATGGTGTATGTATTTAACTGTGATTCTTTTTTATTTATAGATTTAAATTACCCTTCAAAATTTTGATTGAGTTTGCTATCTCTGAATATAATTGTCTTCTAAGCATAAATTTCACTATTGGCCTGGAAGAATGGTTCTTCTAGAACAAATCTTTAACTGTTTTTAAAAAACTGGGGTTTCAATTAAAATGTAGTTTTCAATGTAGTATCTCCTAAAGTAATTTTCTAATGCAGTGTGTTGCTTGTGTATAAAAAGAGCATGATACAAAACAAAGGAAGGGTACAATCTTCTTATTGCCTACTGTTTTTCAATCATTGTATAAAGAATTATAATGAAATAGTCAATAAAACCCAGATCCTAGTCTCAATAAATTTTTAATTTTTCTATAATTTAACAATTACAATTCAGTTTTAATTCAAACCCATGTTTATCTGTTTCCAAATCATACTATGATATCAAAATTTATACACTCTCTTCTCAGTGTTTGTTTACTTCAGTTTTTAAACTCAGTAAACATTACATATTACATTATATAAATGAGTAAACTGTAGAAAGAAAAAAACACTATAGTTCAATATTATAAAATTAATAATACAGAAAAAGCACCTGAGAATACTATTACATTTTTATAATATAAGGTAGTCTGCATAATTTTATATACTGAATTAAACTTTTGTATCTTTTCCTGATTATTTCCCATTTATGGAAAAAATTGTCAATGATACTCAGGTATGATTAGAGATAAGATGAATAATTCTAGTAGTTTTGAATGGTGAACTTCCAGAAACAAAGTAAAATATTTCTCAAATATCTACATTTTATTCCAACATTGCTTGCTGATAATTGAAAATGTGTACATTAATACATAATTAAACTCATTGTGCCACAAAAAATGTGTATTGGCTTAAAGTTCAGATTTGTGCATTTTATATTCAAAATTTTCAATGATTTTAAATCATATATTTCAAAAACAAATGTTGAGTGAATACAAAAGGAGCATTTATTTAATTTGGTTAAAGAAGTCATTCAAAATCTGAATCATTTCTAAAAGACTGCTAGTGCTTCTGATCAGTTTAAGTAAGTATTGATAGCTAAATATGAAATTGATATAAAATATTGATAAAATAGTTGCAAATATTATGGCTTGGCTCTAGGAACTGTAATAAATGCATTTTAAATTAAGATTTTAGAATTTCTAAATATCAGTATTTTTTAAAAATCTCATTAATGGATTTTATTTAATTTTAGAGCTGTACAAAAAGTTTTCCCTAATAAGAGAAGCTTTATTCTCACCCGGTCAACTTTTGCTGGATCTGGAAGCCATGCTGCACATTGGTTAGGAGATAATACTGCTTCATGGGAACAAATGGAATGGTCTATCACAGGAATGCTGGAGTTTGGTTTGTTTGGAATGCCGATGGTAAGTAGTTTCGCACAATGTTATTCATAAAAGCTATGAATTGCGCTTAATTTTGTGATATTACTCTCTTAATGAGAGTACAATGAATAAAAGTAAGTTACAGAAAATTCAATCTTTATCCTTATGGAATTTATGAGAAATATAGGAATATGGGTGATGTCTATAACATTTAAAAAAATGAAATAAAAATTCAGTGAAATCAAAATAATTCATGATACAAATATCAATATAAATAAACATAAAGCTTATATAATAAATGTAAAGCACCAGATAAAATAGTAGAGAAGAATTTTAAAAAGTTAAATGTCAAAGGCTAATATATTAAAATACTCGATTATTTGTTTAGGATAAAAGTAAAGCTTTTTTCTCTATCTAGGTAAAGACAGAGATCTTTAAAAAATTTTTAAAGTAGAGAAAATGTATACTAGGGAATTCTAGACATAAGACATTTTATAAGTCTCTTTATATAAAATAAAAAGTATGTAATGTTCATATTAAACACTAAAGAGGTCCACTACAGAAAAAAATAAATGTAAAATACATTAGAATCTTATAGGATTCTTTAATTTTTTTCTTTTATATGCACTAAACAAATTGAAAACCAAAAACCTCCCAAACAATAAAAAGATAACACAAATACACACAGAATCTTGAATTTAGAAATTAAAAAACATGAATCAAGTGATTCATGAGTCAAAAAATAAGCTGAAGAAAAATGGGAGAAACACTTAAAAGTTGAATGCTAAAAATTGTACTTCATATCATAATGATGAGATATCAGCTAAGTTGATATTTAGAGTAAAAACATATAGCATTAATGCTTAGATTCAAAACAAAAAGGCTAAATATTAATGAGTGAAGTGCATAAATTAAGAAAATGAAAAACCCCACAACAGAGTAAGTCTAAAGAATGATGCAAGGTAGTACAAGTAAGAAAAGTTATTAGTGCAATGGAAGTAAAGTCTCTAGAGAAAAAAAATTACCAAGTCAGAGAACAAAGATAATTCTGAAAATCTGAATAAAATAGACCAATTTATGGCAAGTTTTGCCCAAAAGAAAAGAAAAAAATAGCCAATGTTAGAATGTATTTTAAGATTAGTTATTTATTTTAGCAACCAATTAATAAACATTAACCAGAAGTAAATGTTAAAACTGAATGTAAGACATTTTTGAGAAAATTTTAAGTAACTATATTAAAGATATACCGTGTTCATGGAAAAGAAGGTTCACTATCTGTGAAATATGCATTTTTCTTAAATTATTATTCAAATTCAGTGATATTCCATTTTAAACTAGAAAGGCAATTTGGAGAACGTGAATGATTATTCTAAACTTCATGTGGAAGACAATTTAAAGGAGAAAAGCACACGAGGATTTGCCCTATGAGATATACAGTAGTATGAAACAATGATACTTGACTGTGGATATTCAAGTAGGTTAATATGGATTAATGGAAATTTGTTAAGTGATAGCACTGTCACTATAGATCAGATGTGAAGTACCAATTATTCATATGGACAATGATTATCCATTGAAAAAATAAGGTAAAATGAGTTTACATTTTATACCATACACAGAGCTTAATCCCAGGGTGATTAAAGACCTGCATGTGAAAAGTAAACTTCAAACATTATAGAAGAAAATGTAAGTGGGTAATAATGACATGAAGTTAGGGGAATAATTTCTTAGAACATATAAGGTGCAAATGATAGAAAAACATATATACATTTGACTACAACAAAGTAAAAACTTCTGACTCGAGTGTTTCTCTTCAAAGTAAAAACTTCTGTTCAAAAGACTATTTTAAAAATTTAAAATAAAAAGTTACCTATTGGGGAATTATATTTTCAACTTATATATCTAATAAATGATTTATATTTAATTGAAAGTACTTATCATGAATCTGCAGGAGATAAAAATAATGGAAAAATTAGCAAAGGACATAAATTAGCAATTCTATAGAAAGAGAAACCCCTATGGACTTAATAAAACTATGAAAAAAGTTCTCAACTTCCCTAGTAATCAGAAAAGTGCAGGTATAAATTGGTGAAATATATTTCATATATATATGATAGCAAAAATTAAAAGTCTAAAAATATCAGATATTGGCAAGAAAATAGAACGATAAGAAATGTCATGTTTTGTTGCTTTTCATAAAAATGGTTACAACTGTTTTTTTATTGAACAATCTAGATTTCCAATACCAGGAAATAATTATATATATACATACCTAATGATAAAGGAGGAAGTTTTTTACATATTCACAAATATATATATAAATTTTATAGAATCATTTTTTTTAGTCATTATACAATAGAGAACCAGTGAAACCACTTAACATAATTGAATTTCACAAAAATAAAGCTTTGGGGAAAAATGAAAAACACTGTGATGTATACAACATACCATTTATAATAAAGTTATAGAAACATATAGAAAAAAGAAAGAAAGATTTGCAAACAGTAAATACTAAATTAAGGATAATAGTTTTTCTCGAGGGTTTTTTTAAAAAAAGTTATGCAATTTTATGATACATAATCAGGTAACTTTTTTTTTTTTTTTTAATTATTTTACTCCTATAGTGATATATTACAAATAGAAAAGAACAAATACTGGGAGGCATTTTGGAGTAAGAAGCTACACATTTGAATAATGTCATTTCACTTTAATACAGTGAATTAACAGTAATTAAATAAAAGGAGAAAATACATATAAAAGGCTAAGAAAATATATAGACAATGAAGTAAATAAAAATTAAATTAAAAAATAGAAATTAAAAAATAGAAATTAGAAAGAAGACAATGAAGGAAAGAGAGTAAAATAATGCAATTAGAGGCAAGTATACAACAAAAATGAAAAATAAAGAGGCTAGGTTAAAGGAGAGTATATGAAGACAGTAAAACAAAAAGATTCTAAGTAATGCAAATTAATCTATTGAGGCTAAAAATGTATTGTTATGGGCAAATTTGAGAATTTTTACATTATGAATAATAGATATGTTTATTGTTTAGGTTGGAGCAGATATCTGTGGATTTGTGGTTAATACAACAGAAGAGCTCTGCAGAAGATGGATGCAACTTGGGGCATTCTATCCATTTTCCAGAAACCATAATGCTGATGGATATGAGGTAAATGCCTCTTGTTTTCCTTGTTTTGAAAACATAATCCTATTGTTGTCAAAGTGGTTAAATTTATAAAGTATATTGTCTGAAAGCTTCTAGCATGATTCATGAACAAGAGTTAGAAGTCCTCTTCTCAAGGCCTATACATATTTGTATATTTAAAGTATGGTCAATTAAGGAAATTATGAAACATAATGTAGTCACTACATAAATATTTTATTTAAACCTAAAGCATATATAAGTGTGTTAAATCATAATAGCTTAAATAAAAGTGAAAGATATTTGAGTCTGGATTCTTGGATTCTAACAAGTTCCAGGTAACTTTTCTTTCATAAAATGAATAATGTTCTATTAAGGGTTTCCAGTTTTTGTTTCATTTAAGTAACAAAAAAATTAAAGCCACTAGCAAAGCAGCTTGAGTCCAAAATCTTTCTATAATAAACAAGACTGGAATGACATTTTGGGAAAAAATAAAACTAACACTTTTAACATCATGCATTTGAACTGGTGGGAGCATAAGTACAGTATATACTGAGCTATTCTACCAGCTCTGAGAATTCATGCTGTGGGCTCCCATTGATATATTTTTTCAGAGGGAACGGGGAAAGTAGAGTAAACCATCAAGTCAATTAACTGTATGGTGGTTAAGAAATTATTCACTGATCATATACTGGTGACATAGAGGGCCTTGATTCTGTTTGAGAAGAGGGACAACAATTCAGAATTTAACCTGGAAGGAGGCATGGTAGAACAGAAGTAAAAGGTATAAGTTGGAGAGAAGTCACTTTCTAGTCTATTTAAATTATGCTTTCAAGAAATTTGTGTTCATGGGAGATCCTGATATAAATTACATTACACTCTGTGTTTATTTATGTCCTCCAAAAAGCAGATACCAAAGCAGAATTAGACATCTTAGAGATTTATTGGTGAAATACTTGTGTAGGATAAAGGGAAGGGAGCAGGAGAAGGTGGAGAGAGCCTTCAGATCACGATTAGGTCAGAACCTGGTGAAATGAAGGCAAGAAAAGAGGTTTGATTGGAAGAGTCACATGTTGAGTCATAGGGTTCCTTATTTGAATGAGTTTCAGTCAGCCCCGTGTGGCATCCTCAAGGCAAAGTTGAGTATTGGAAGAATCACCTGTCTCCAAGAAATGGGCCTGAATAGTATTCTCACCATTCTAATTGTTTAGCTGGGAGCCACCAAAAAGAAATATGGCCTCAGGGTAAAAAAACATGATGGTGAATCCAGGGAGGCAGTAGCTGGTACCCTTTAGTTAATTCTGTTACCCATAGCGAGAGATATAAGCAGGTTTGATCACATTGCACCTTGGCTAAGAGTCAGTTGATCTGGTTTAGAATTGGCAGACAGGCTTTCCTTCAAGTTGCAAGTCTGCAAACTGGCCAGGCAGCTCTTTTTCTTGAATCCCTGGGACAGCAGACTACCTGGGCTTATTCTCCTAAGACAGTGGTCAGGCACAAGGCAGCAAGTATTCAGGAAAGCACATTTTAAGCCATAACTTGAATGTGTCACATGGGTCAGAGTATGTCACATATCTGAGAATGAAGTCAAGCAGTGGGGAAGTGTATATTCCACCTTTAGTGGTATGGGCTACAATGTTACAAAGTAAAGGACTGGGTACAAGGAAGCATGAAAATTTGAGCCAATAATCCAGTCTACCACAAATAATACCAGTGAAATATTCCTTCTTAAAATGTATTTTTATCTTCTCTGTGTTTATTTAAATGAGAAAATTGACTTTTAAATAAAGTTTAATTAAAAAATATCCAAATACCAGAAGCATGGAGGTCTGGAACAGACTGACATATCACAGAGGGGGTGGGAGATGGGAAAATATAAACCAAAAAACTTATATACTTATATGCATAGCCCATAGAGACAGGCAGTAGTGTGGTGAAGGCCTGGCAGGGGTGGAAGGGACTGGGCAGAGGGAGGCAAAAAGGGAAGGTGAGGGGGGCATCTGTAATGCTGTCAACAATAAAAATTATATTTAAAAGAATCCAGATAAACACATAAAAATTAGAAATGTTCATATACTATATACAGTTTGCTTTTCAAAAATAGATTAAATGTTTCTATGTTAATTTTTATTCAGATTTTAGCTTTCTTATTTCTCTTTTTATGCCATAGCATCAAGATCCAGCATTTTTTGGACAAAACTCTCTTTTGGTTAATTCATCAAGGCACTATTTGAATATTCGTTATACTTTATTACCTTTCCTCTACACCCTGTTTTATAAGGCCCATAAGTTTGGAGAAACAGTAGCAAGGCCATTTCTTCATGAGTGAGTACAATGTTCAAGAACTTTAATATCTTTCCAATTATACTTGCACATATATTAAGAGATTAATGGAGATAAATCACAATGTCAAGTAGATTTCTGCTTCTTGTTTTTACATTCATATAAATGATTTGATGAACTGTAGAATGACAGTAGTAAATATAATTAATTTGGTGTTTTGGACAGGATTAATAGAGAAATGTGTGTCTTGAATAGAGAATGCATTAGGACAATGATATCAGTAAACTAGATTAAATATAGAATTATTTAAAACATGTATAGTGAAAATCATCTAAATATAGATCAAATGTAATTTAGTGAAAAAAAAACCCACAAAAAAACAATGAATTGTGCTTATCTTTGTATATCTTGACCAAAGCAAGGACCTTTCCTCAAGAAATAACTAAAGACCCTTTCAAATCCAAGTCAAAATGGGAATTAATAATGAAACAATTTTAAAGGAAGAAAGTAGAATATGAAAGACTTCTGGTACTTTATGAACTCATCTCACAGGAGAAAATGAATTAAACAGACTAGTTGTTTATTACAGATAAAATGTAAGCTTATCATATATGATAGATTTTTTTGAATCCCAGATAAACTATTTCCTCCCACCGCCTTTCCTCCCTCTCTCCCTTCCTTTCCAGCATCCTATGAAATAAAGATGTAAGAAATATAGATTCAAAATGACATGTAAAACAGGTGAAGTTAAAGTTAAGAATCATTCCCAAGGAAAAACAGAAAAGGCAAACCAAACAAAGAATTTGGATAAACTTATTTTTTATCATTGTATTGTAAACATTGTCATTGTTCTTAGGTTTTATGAAGATACAAATAGCTGGGTTGAAGACACTCAGTTCTTGTGGGGCCCCGCATTGCTTATTACCCCAGTCTTGAAACAGGTAGGTTTTAAAATTAATAGACGTATTGCTTAAAGGCAAGTTTTATAACCAAACTACACTAAATTATAAAACATCTTCATAATAGATGTTACTCAATAGACTGTTCCAACCTGATAAATGTCAAATTGAATTCTAAAATGTGGAAGAAATTTTGAAAAATTATAAAAATATTAATAAAACTGGGGAAAAGAAAATTGCATAATAGTATTCTTCTGAAAAAGAAAGCTTTATATAATCAAAATAAAATCTTATAGTAATAATTATGAACTCTCATTTAAATAGACATAGATATTGAAATTTTATTAAGTTGTAAATAAAGGGGAACACAAAATCCAGCTGATTTTATGAAAATGTTGAAACACTAGGGAGTAAGTTTTTTGGTTTTTACCTATTATTTAAATGTTTTCTTCTCCATGGAAATATACAGAAATGAATGTGTTCATATTCACAATTACCATGTATATTGTAACTATACAAGTGCATGCATGCATTATTTTTGTTGCCACTTAAATTAATTTTGTCTTTGCTTTTGTCATATTTTATATTATGATACTGTCTAAAACTTTAGATTTTTGATTATTATTTATAGAAAATATTGGAGTTTAACAACACAAAGAAAGCTTTTTTACTCTTTATGAATACCTAACTTAATATTTGATGTAATTCTTTTATGCGAAGTATTGAAGTAAAAAGAATAGGTACATATATATTATTTATAATATATACATATAAATATGTATTTTTTTCATCTGGTTTTATTATAGGGAGCAGATACAGTGAGTGCATACATCCCTGATGCTACTTGGTATGATTATGAAACTGTAAGTAACCTTAATATAATAATAGACTCAAAATACTATATTGTAAAACATCTTTACATGGAAACTTAACTCCAAACACATACCATATATACTTGCAGTATTCCTGTTATTATTATAGAAAAGGAATAATTTCAAATTTGAATATTATGTAACATTTGTGTATTTCGTTGTACATGAGCAAGTATATGTTTTGTTGCATATGATTAATATGAAATATTTTTTACATAAAAAGTTATACTGGTCATTTTCAAATTGTGCAAATAAAAGGTCTGGAGTAATTTTAGAAAGGAATGGTGACATTTTAATACTTTTTCTATTTTATATACTTATCTTATTGCCAGAAGAATGAGTACTGAGCTAATCATAAACATTTGTTTTTATACACTACATTTTAACATTTGGGAAAGATTTTTATTTCTCTCTCAAAAAGGTAACATAGCAGCATTCATACACACATTCTATTTATTTAATTGAACAAGACATTTTGATGTTTCTTTAAAAAAGCATTATTTTGCATGTCACTTTTATTTGCTAAGCGGACCCTTCATTTTTATAGAAACACTGATTTTTTAAAAAAATCCTTTTTAGAAACATGCTAACTTTAAAACAAAGTATTAAAAGTAAGGCTAATTAAGATTATTGTTAATTATTGTAGAAGAGAAATATATTTTTCTATGTTGATTTTTTTGTTGTTGAGAAAATTAAGTAATTTTTTTCCTACTTTGTTCAGTAAACCGAACACACACAAAACAGGGTTTTCTTTAAAAGTTAGAAAACAATACTTACTTAGATGATACTCATATTAAAAATTATTTCTCTGTGTAAATTTTGAGGCTTGTAAAATGGAGTTAAAAGTTTTTACTACTAATAAGTCCTCTTAACTTCCAAATATTAGGGTGCAAAAAGACCATGGAGGAAACAACGTGTTAATATGTATCTTCCAGGAGACAAAATAGGGTTACATCTTAGAGGAGGTTATATTATCCCCATTCAGCAACCTGCTATAACTACAACTGCAAGGTAAAATGAATAATTAAAAACTAAAATCTGAAATATAATTTCTTTCAATATTTCATATTTTTAAGAATCAAATATTAATATTCAGTTATTCATCAGAAGTTTGACGTATGGAGGAAATTCTTAAATATAACCATCATGGTTATAAAAAAATAAAATTATGTATATTAATACAAATTTTTAATTTAAAAAATAAACATAATTATATTAGAATTTTATTTCCTGTGCTAAAACTGTACTGACATTCTTTATAGAATATGCATAATTAGTTAATTGCTGATTCATAAAAAATATGAAATATTAAAATAAACTGGTAAAAAGTATCAGTTCTAAAATATTTGGATTTTCAATACATAAATGTTACAATGCTTTTCTTTTTGCTACAGTGTTTTAAGTTGATAAATGAGGTGGATAGTTCTGTTTAGGTAAAGAACAAGATAGAAACTAAATTGTTCATAAGAATAAATTCCAGAAATACTTAGAAAAAAAACTTGAAAATTCTGGTGCTTCATCTTGCCCCATTCATTCTGGGTACAAGGGCACAGAAGGCATCATATTGAATTCACATATTTCCTTATATCCTACAACCCCCAACACAGAGTTACTCACTATTCCTTACCCTGATGTGTTTTCTTCATAACATTAAGAATATCTGAAATTATATTAGTTATGTTTTCTTGTATGTGGTGTGTTTACTCTTATAGACTATAAATTCCATAAAGGCAGGGACTTGACTTTTGACTGCTTTAGTACCCAGACAAATAATACTCTCCGGCCCATAATAAACTGGTTTCCCATGAGTGGATGAATGTGCTAGTAATTTCATTATTTTGGCATTTTTAGAATTATTTATTTTAATACTGTAACTGTTCATGACTGTGTTCTCAGAAAAATGGTTTATACTCTAGAGCTGTATTAACCGAGAGAAACATACACTTTGGTAGGTGCATGCTGGAAGGAATATATTCTGTATAGAGCAGTTGCCTAGACTATAAGGCCTCAGGTGAACTATTTTAGGTTAAAAACAGAAAGTGATATATAACTAAGAAAAAATTTTAGTGAGCACATGCCTTATTTCTTGTACTAGAATTAGCTTCCTTTCTAAGATTATTAGAGATCTCATTAAGCACTTAAAAAATGCTATCCTTGACTCTTCATTACTTTGTATATAAGATGTAGCCTTGATACGTTGCATTTAGGGTTAATTGATATGTGACAAATACATGATTTATTAAGCATTCATAAGATATGTTTAATTTTTCTCATTTTACTTGAAATATATTATACTGTTTCCAAATTGCTGGTGTCTTAGCCTCCAAGAAATTCTGTATTTATTATATTTATTAATTTCATTTATTTTCTGAGGTTATAAATTATTTTATCATTGAAAAATTATTAATAAGCATAGACATGAATTTTATTAATATGGCCTCATATGTAGGAGGAATTCCTACAAATCATTAGTTTGAAATAGACTTATTTATAGAAACTTTTACTATTATAAATTTATTTTTAATCATATATGATTATAAACTTACTTAACAGCCGAAAGAACCCTCTAGGACTTATAGTTGCATTAGATGAACAGAACAGAGCAAAAGGAGACTTTTTCTGGGATGATGGAGAAACTAAAGGTAAGTCTCAAGTAGGATATGCTTTTAAATGTTTATTCTAATGATGGAAAATTTTGACTTTATTAATATAAAGTTGCAACCACTTCAAAACTGTCACAAGTTTTAATTTTTAATTCCTGTTTTTAATCTATTTGAGGGTCTAGGTTACTTTATGAAATTTAACATTGCTATTTAAATTATATTTTTAATTACAATATTTAGTTTTGTCTATTGGGTCACTATAAAAGTATTTGACAAGTGTAGAGAATTTATTAGATTATTATTCTTTGCTTTTTGTTGTTTGTTTATTTTTGTTTAAAATATTACAGATGTCCCTTTTTCTCCACAATGACCCATTATACCCTGTCCCCTCCCACTCCCCAGTCCCTCTCCCCACCATTGTCCATGTCCTTGGGCTGTGCATATATGCATATAAATTCTTTGGTTACTCTCTCCCCCTCAGCCTACCCACCCTCTTCCATCTCCCTGACATTCGTCAGTCTCATCTATGCTTCCATGTCATTGAATCTATTCTGTTCATCAGTTTATTAAGTTCTTTAGATTCCAAGTATAAACAAGATCATGTGATGTTTGTCTTTACCTGGCTTATTTCACTTAGCATAATATTCTCCAGGTCCACCCATACTGTTCCAAAGGGTACGAGATCCTTCTTTTTTATAGCTGCGTAGTATTCCATGGTGTAAATGTCCCACAGCTTTTTTTATCCACTCATCTACTGATGGGCACTTGGGCTGTTTCCAGATCTTAGCTATTATTGTAAATTGCAATGCTACGAACATAGGGGTACATATATTCTTTCTGATTAGTGTTTCAGGATTCTTAAGATATATTCCTAGAAGTGGGATCACTGAGATTATTATTCTTAATTAAATAGTTAAATTCATACATGTATAAAGCACATCAAATTTTCAACTGTCTTACATGATTGCAACGGTTAAATATAAAATTTTATTACTGTAAAAAATAAAGAAAAAATACATTTAAAACTTTAGTTAATGTCAAATTATTTGATAAGAATGTTACCAGTAAATGGTTCACAATTTATTTCAATTATTAAGTGTCTTTAATTTTATTTCCTGATCCCAAACTTGAGAATTCAGTAAACCAAGAGAATAAATAGCCAGTTCTTGCAAATATCTAATTATAACAATAGTAAATTTATCAGTTTGGCTATAATTACTCTATTCCAATTACCCTCATAAGTCTGTCAAATATTTGTGTTCCATTTCTTTTTTTTTTTTTTAAATATATCTTTATTGATTTCAGAGAGAGGAAAGGAGGGAGAGAGAGATAGAAACATCAATGATGAGAGAGTCATTGATCGGCTGCAGCCCGCAACCCAGGCATGTGCCCTGACCAGGAATCGAACCTCGATCGCCTGGATCCTAGGTCGATGCTCAACCGCTGAGCCACGCCTGGCCAGGCTGTGTTCCATTTCTTTTAGTAGAGGGCTCGTAGGTATGTTTTTAACATATGTGTATACAAAATATTTAGTTTAGTTTCTATTTTTTAATTATTTTATTTTGTTAATCTTCACCAGAGGATATTTTGATTCTAGAAGGAGTGGAAGGGAGAGAGGGATTGGGAGAGAGAGTGGAAAGAGAGAAACATCAATGTGAGGGAGCCACATCAATTGGTTGCCTCCCACATACACCTCAGCCAGGGAATGGAGCCTTCAGCTGTTGTTTGTGGGCCAGCGCTCTAACCGTGAACCACATAGGCCAGGGCCAAAATTCTTAAGTGTTGTATAATTGTAAAAGTAGAGCAGAAAATTTAACATTACAATTTTATCTGATAACTTTATTTTTTTTCCATTTCAGATACCATAGAAAAGGGCAACTACATTTTGTACTCGTTTTCCGTTTCTAATGTAAGCATTCTCTTTGGACACATAGTTAAATATATACCTTTTTTGACGTCTGGGTTATGCCTTTATTATGGATTTTTTGGAAATATATTTACATTTACTTCCAGATTTCAATACAAAGAAATGAAATAAATTATTAAATAAATCATTAAATTATAAACTTAGCTTACATTTTTTTATATTGAAATGTAATAGATGAGTTTATATGATGAACTGATGAACAGAAATTTTTAGACTTCTGAAAATATTATGTCTGTTTTAAGAAACATGCCCTAGGAAAGTAATCTCAACTAATATGAATATGTTTTAATATATCAGCCCCAGGAATAGTTGTCGTGGAGTTGAGGTGAGGGTGAAAAATCTATGGACAAGGTTACAGTTGAATAATTAATAGCAATGTTTCTTGTAGATGTTGGGTTTCTTTATATACCGCCCCCCCCCCCCAAGCTAAGTTATTTTTCAACATTAGGTTGGGAATGAAAAAAGATACATATGAGTTGCATCATGAGTAATTTAGGTAATCTTTGATAATAAATGTTATGGCATGTGTACAAAAAATTGAAAAGAAGTTACTGATGGGTATATTTACATATTCTGCTTAGATGTGGAGAGCTGGTGGGAATCGAAGGATAGATGATTTGTTCTCTTCCTGTTTCACAACTGCATTGTATATCCAGAGACCTTCAATTTAATATATAATACTATATACCTTTTTGCAGAACAAGTTAGATATCCACTGCACACATTCATCATACCAAGATGGAACCCTTCTAGCGTTTGAGACTATTAAAGTCCTTGGGCTCACAGACAGCGTTACGGAAGTTACAGTGATGGAAAACAATCAACCAGTGCAAACCCACAGCAATTTCACTTATAATGCTTCCAACAAGGTAAATACAGTCTTTCAAAATATTTTAGTTGTCATATACTCTCATATTTAACATTACATAACCATTTAGGCTCTTAGTTTTGTGATTATTTTTTTTCATGACACATATATTTTTTCTTCTTATTTTGCTGCCAGTATTCCATTTTAGGTCATTCCAGTTTATATTTAGATATCAATATTAAGGAGGCTCCTTACTACTTCTTCCTATTTAATTTTATCTTCGATAGCACTTATTACACCTTCCTAGTATTTTCTTATACCATTCTCTTACTTTGAATTCTAAATTACATCTGTTGCATACAACATTCTAAATATTTTAGCTTGTCATTTAAGACTCTAAGGTACTGATTTAAGCCATATCTTTAATTATTCTTCCTGTCCCTTCTTTCATGAATTTTCATTGTCCTCAATATACTTTGTAAATTTTCTTCAAATTTTTTGTTTATATCCCCCCTTCTAGTACAAGACTTGTCTTGTAATTTTTGTTTCTTTGAACAGGTGTACCAAAGAGGAAAAAGAAGTCACAAATTGGGCTTGAATTCTAGCCCTGTAGTCTGTGCATTTAAACATAATAAATTAATCTCTCATGACCTCAGACTCCTCATTTATAAAATGTAATATTTAAATCATAATGTTGCTTTGGGTAATAAATTCTTGTACTTAAATGTTAAACATAATAATTTAAAACATGGAAGTGATTTCTATTGGTATTTACTTTTCCACCATTTATATAATACTAAATTATTAGTAATATCAGTTTATATAAATTCTAAATTATTTTAGATATAGAATCTTTTTAAAGTTTTTTTTTTTTTTGGTCTAACTCTTAAGTCTTCTGGCCCAAAGTTTTTCACTTAGGAATTTTTATAAAAATAAGTATTAGTAATTATTTTTTATTTAGTAAATATACTATAATTTATGTATTCCTAAGACTATAGGAATTAATATAAATTAAATAATACAGGTTTATTGAGAACTTTATGACTCTAACCAAGATTATAAAGAGCACACAATACAACTTATTTTGATTTTTGCAATCTTAATTTATATGTGTCTATTTTTATGTTTATGTAAAGATTTGAAAAGACACTAGTAGATACACTTTCCTAGTTCTGTTATACTTAGACTAATTTTTACATGAATTTTCATTCCTGAATCGACAATTATTAAAATAAACTCATATTAAAAACTAAGCTATGCAGATGAAACTCTGGGATAAATTTTGCCAGTGTTATTCCCAAGGTATATAAACAATAACCAAACATAACTTTGCAATTTTTCAATAATATAAATAATTGTGTGTTAGTATATGTATATTTATATCTCTATATTTGTGTGTGTGTGTATATACATATATAAAACTATCCCCTCATTATTTTTTCTTTTTTGCATAATACCATGTTATCATCCCTTTAACTTGTTCCTCAAATATTTTAAACAATGGATAAAATTTGGAACAAAATTAAAGAAATAAGTATTTTTCTCCTCTAACTCTAGGAGCTTCCATATCAACAAAAGTGATCAACTTTTTCTTCCTTGAGGGGCCTAACATTTATTTCATACCTAGTATGCCACAGGCATTATGTTAGGTGCTTTAAATTTCACATATTCATTCTATATAGCAACCCCTTTTGGTAGGAGTCACTATCCCCTTTTAAAGTGAGAGGACATTGAAGACAGACAATATTCCCCAAGACTTATGAGTACTAAATGACATAACTGAGAATTGAACTTATGTCTGGATTTAAAGATAACACTTTACATTAGTATCTCTAATTCTCATAGCTTTCCTGTTTTGAGCTACTAGCCATTTCAGTGGCATGAGCTAATATAACAGTATTATATTAAAACTATTTATGACTTGATTTGAAGAATTGCTGTGGTTGCTGCATTTTATGTTAAGTACTTTTAAATTGTCCAATGGTCAGAAATATTCGTTAATGTTTTCTTTTGTCTTCAAAGAGTCTCCTAATTTACAATCTCAAGTTTAACCTTGGAAAAAACTTTACCGTTCAATGGACTCAACATTTCTCAGAAAATGAAAGATTTAATTGTTACCCAGATGTAGAACCTGCAACCGAGGAGAGCTGCAAACAACGTGGCTGTCTATGGCAAACGGTAATGAGAATTTTATTTATGATTAATGGTATGGCTTTCACATAAGCATTTCAATGTAATTTTTACATATTATAATTTCCATTCTATAGCATATAAACTAAATTCACCTAGGTAAGCATTTGAAATTAGGAATTCTGATAGAAAATTTCTCTTTATCTTAATTTTCCTGTCCTGGCTTAGTAAACGCCAGAGTAAATGGAAGTGTAAGTTGCTTTTCAGGCACTTTATATACTGTAACTTTATTTAATAAAGTTGTAGTGTATTTGCTGACTATACCTCAAAATCATACTGTCTTCACCTAATTTCACATTCATACTTAATGCTGGCTTCAGATAGCATGAATTCTGAAGAGTCCTATTGCTTTGATGTCACTGGAACCTCAGATTTAAAAATCTCAGGAATGATGTTCATGTGTGGAGAGGGGTAGGGCTGTGTATTAAAAAATAAAACCTATTCAAAGATACATTTTAACTTTAATTAATTTGGTATAACTTGGATAAACCAAGTTTTTAAACAATTATCTGTTGAATACTAAGCCTGTAGGTTTTTATACTGTTTCTATAAATTATGCAGCAAGATTATTTTCATCCTAATGACAAACAGCAATGTTGATGAACTAACAACAAGAAAGATAAATAAGAACGCTTATAGAATAATAAAGGGGAAGTGGTACTGGGCAAAAAGATAGCTATTTATGAGAGAGACGTGCAGACTACAGTTTTCTAAAGTCAGTCATATTTATGATTCTATTGAATTTCAATTTTATGCAGTTAAAATAAGTTCTGTAGTATTCCTATCAGTTAAGGATTGCTTGAAGCTGAGAGTATCAGAGAGCTGAATCTGATTTTGTTAAAAAAACAGGATTTTTTTAAACTTATTTTTTTTACAAATAAGAATCCCAAGCCAAATATGCTGAACTCTCAGTGTCATCAGTGTCCCATATTTCTCATTTGTTTTTCATCCTCAAGGTTATATTGTAGCTTCCACCATTACATATGCATTCCAAGTCCAGAAGGTGTAAGGACAAAGAGCATACTAATTAATTTGCTTATACCATTTTCTTTTAAGGAGGTTTTAGGGGTCATGTACAACCTCTTCAAAAGAGAATTGAAAATGTAGGGCATATTGCTTCTCTCAACAGTGTAATAAATTTAACGAGAGAGTTTGGAGAATGGATTGTGGTAAAGCAACTAGTCCTTAAAGCCACAGTTTTAATTGTTTTTCTTAGATCCTATCATCAGCCCCTATGTAAACCAATTAGCTCTGATCTTTGGCCACACTTTCTATTTCAAATACTGGTCAAGATGTAATTGACCAATATAAGGAACACTCATGAAATAAAGAATAATATAGTTTCTTTATAAGAAGAAGAAAAGAATTTTAAGCTCATGCCCTTTTGAGGGTTGTTGTAGAGACATTTTACACACAAAAGGCAATAGTCAATATGAAGAGTTAGAACATGCATGGATCAAAATTTATGAGTAATATACTTAATTTTTGCAAAGACTACACAGTCACTTTGTTTTCTGAGTTGAAAATAAAAATTTGATCCTACTGTTCTACTGGTCTATCTTTAGAGTCAAAATACAAATGTTTCATATAACATTTTAGTACATAGTATCTTGGGTTGCATAATAGATATTTTATGTTTTGACTGTAATTTCATTTTATATTAAACAATAAAATCTGTAAGTCAAATGTGATTAAACATGTCTACCTTATTTTTCTAAGAGTAAAATATTACAACGCTTACAATTTCTGTCAATAAACATATATTGCATTTTTAGACTACATCCAGCGCACCTCAGTGTTTCTTCCCTAAAAGTGACTCGCCTTATTTAGTCACTTCAACTGAGTATTCATCAATGGGTGTAACCGCCGACCTCAAGCTGAATACTGCAAACGTTCGAATAAAGCTGCCTTCTGAACCCATCTCAACTCTTCGTGTGGAAGTGAAATATCACAAAAATGACATGCTGCAATTCAAGGTATGTTGGGTGTAAATAACAGCAGTGCATGACTCATCTGTCAAGACGTAAGATTTTGAATACATTCATGCTTGAGTTTTTAATGTAATATTAAGGATTATTAATTGAATTGATGACATTTTTTCTACAAAGCTTATAGCTAGGTGCACAATAAAGCTTCTCATTTCTGCTAATTTTGTGGATAATTAAATATACAGTAGTAATTTTAAAAAGATATTATAGATAAATCACTTAGAATACATTATGTTGCTAATTAAAATAAACAAAACAAACAGGATGCTTACTATTTCCATTATTTTTACATAGTTATCTAAATTTCTGACCAATGCATTAAGACATATAAATAAAAAACATAACAATTTCTTTCAAAAGTTACACTTAGCATTTTTTTTTTACTTAAGACCTCCAAAAGAAGAAAACAAACAACTATTACAAATGATAAGATCAGCAAAATGACTAGATATAATATATATCTCCAAAAAATGTTTTACTGTACACTGTCATTCACCATTTAGACATTGAAATGGTGGCAGATCCCATCAGCAAAATCAAATGAAAAGAACAATCATATAAATAATAAAAATATTTAAAAAGAATAGGAGTGAATTGACTGTCTATAAGAAAAATAACTATTAAAAAGTGTTGATAGAGATAAGTACTAAGAAATCCTGAATAAGACTAAATTTTTTAAAAGTTAACTAAATTTTTATCAATTGATGCTTTTAAATAATTTCCACAGGCATCTCAATGGAATATTTTGGGGGACTTAATAAAATAACCTTTACATTTATCTGGAAAAGTAAATGTATGACAATGATAATAGTTAAAATTTATTTAAAAAATAGATAAAACTTACAAAATTAAAACAATAGAATTGCAGTGAGAATTACCTTAACAGTTTATAAAAAAGGGATGGCATGAAAAATATATGTATAAATAGCATATAAAGATATATAAGGTTACACACACACACACACACGCACGCACGCACGCACGCACGCACGCACGCACGCACGCACGTATATAGTAAATCAAACATAAGCCCAGGAAAAAAAAAACGCCTGCATAGTTATCTTGTATCTGGCTAGTAAAGGTCTTTCAAACCATAGATATAAAGGCATGCATCTCATAGATAAAATTCTATGTATTTACTATGTAATAATTACATTTCAACATTAATAAACACTATAAACAATTAGAATAAAAACAAAAAATGGAAAAATATTTGACACCTAGATCATAAAAGGTAAGCAATTTCAACTTATACAAACAATAAAAATATTATAAAGATCTTATAAGCAAACATATAACAAGAAGAACTAATAATTGGAAATAAAAATATTAAAATACACTTATTAACAATCAGAAGAATAAAAGACAAATTCAAAGAATGGGAAACCTAAGTGTTAAATAATCATGTAGAAAAAGGTTGATCTTCATCAAGGAAATAAAGGACAATTTAGAAAACAAACACTCTTAGTGTTACATGAAACAGTTTTAGAGCATGCATTTCGGTGAGAATATTAATTAGTACACTAATTCTGGAAAACAGTTTACAAATAGATATCAAGGACCTCACAAATATTAGTATACTCTGGCCTAATACTTAACTTCATAGAAATGTGCTGAGGAAATAAACTTGAATAAACATAAATTTACATTAATATATAGGATCACACATATGACAGAAATATTGAAACAACTTCTGTGTCTAAACAGAAGTGGTAAATAATTTTGTATATACATATAAGAGACTATTTAGCTCTTAAAGTTGATTTTGATGATTTCTCATATAGAAAAATGAATTACAAAATATTTAAAAAAGGTAAAATAGGTAATTTGATCTCATTATTTATTCATGTATGTATATGGGATTTAATATATATATGGTGTCTCAAAAATATGTGTACACTCTTTAACAGCTGATAGCTGCAGATTCTATTACACTTTGAAAATGAAATGTATTTTAATAAACACTTCCTTTATAGTATGTATACATTTATTTTTGGAGACACCCTGTATATATGTGTGTGTGTGTGTGTATATATATATATGTGTGTATATATATATGTGTGTATATATATACACACACACACATAGGAAAATAAAGGACAATTTAGAAAACAAAATATATACATATATATATATACACACACACACATATATGACATGGATACAGAATTAAGAATTATACAAACAAGAATTCTATATATTCTTATTTGAACCTTATTTAAATTATTTAATATTTGCATGATATGTCAGCAAACTAGAGCAAAACATTTCTATTTTTATTATTATCTGCAATAGATTTATGATCCAAAAAATAAGAGATATGAAGTTCCAGTACCATTAAACATTCCAACCACGCCAACAAGTACTTATGAAAATAGACTTTATGATGTTGAAATCAAGGAAAATCCTTTTGGCATCCAGATTCGACGGAGAAGCACAGGAAGAATTATGTAAGTGATTGAATTATTTGATTTTAGCTTAGGAGGGAAAAAGTAAGATGATTATTTTCACTACCTTTACCGTGCTAGATTATCATCACACTAAAAATGGTTTTGGTTGTATTAAATAACCTGACTTATTTTAACATTTTTAACTTAAACTATCAGAACATCATAGGACTATAATTAAGGATTTTCTAAAATTTCATTTACACTTTGAATGTGATTGATTTTATTATTAAATATTAAACTTATTTTTCAAATCAAGTTAAAAACCAAACCAAGACTCCTCTTGAAAAGCATGGTGAGTTTTGGCAAAATAAGTAATTGGAAATGTATTAAGTAAATATTTTATTGGAACTGTTGAAATCAGTTTATTGGCCCTGGAATTTGATGGAGTTAATAAGATTTTTGCCAAGCATTAATGAAAGGAAATTAAGATAAATGCATTTAGATATTTTTAATACATAATGAATAAATTTAAGGAAAAAATTTATTTTTTGTGAAATTCTTTACAAACTATAGTATATTAAAAGATATGCTATGTAATTTAAATTTGCCACGCTGTCCTTCAGATGTTGTTCAGAATAGATACAAATAATGAAGAAAAGTATGTCTGTATTTTTTTTAAAATTTTGTTATGAGAATATTTTTGTTCCAGAGGATAACAAGCTAAGTCATTTTGTAAAAAATTCCTGGTGTAAAGGTATACTTATTTTTATTTGAGAATATTCTTTAGTAAACACTGCATATTCTTTAGTAAATACTTTTTCATAATAATTAATATAAAAGTTTAAATATGACTCACATTCTTTGTAATACTTACATTTTCTTACACTGCCAACTTTAATTTTCCTCTTCATGTTCTTTCAAATGATGAGAAAAATAACACATTCTCTGTAATGCTTTTCTTATGGACTTTTTTAAACACTAATTTTTATAAATATAAAAATTAAGAAAATTATTGGGATTATTAAATAGGGAGAATTTTATTTTATTATTATTTATTTTTATTTTTATTTTTTTAAAAAATATATCTTTATTGATTTCAGAAAGAGGAAAGGACAGGGAGAGAGAGAGATAGAAACATCAATGATGAGAGAGTCATTGATGGAGCCCGCAACCCAGGCATGTGCCCTGACCGGGAATCAAACCCTGATCGCCTGGATCCCAGGTCAACGCTCAACCGCTGAGCCATGCCCGGCAGGGCATAAATACGGAGAATTTTAAATTAAAATGTCCATTATGACTTATAGTAGTTGTTTTTTAATGTTGATTTCTTTTTATTCCATATGTAGAAAAATATTTACTCTGATTTTCTCAAGGGAATAGGAAAGTAGATGACTTTCAATTTCTCAGACATATGTTACTTCCAGATCATATATTATTTATAACTTCATATACATTTTATTTTTATTTATTTTTTATTTATTATTATTATTTTTAAATATATCTTTATTGATTTCAGAGACAGGTAGGGAGAGGGAGAGACAGAGATAGAAACATCAATGATGAGAGAGTCATTGATCGAGCCCGCAACCCGGGCATGTGCCCTGACCGGGAATCGAACCCCGATCTCCTGGATCCTAGGTCGACGCTGAGCCGCGCCCGGCTGGGCTACATTTTATTTTTAAAAGCAATATATGTCTAAGCACAAACATATATAATTATATTAATCATATTATGGCTCACTATTAATAATGGTGAATATGCAAAGTATATTATAGGTATTCTTTAACTTAGCCAAAAAATATATATTTTTGAATTATTATCTATATCCATTTGGTATCTGGTTACAATAAGGTATATAGAGAAAATATTGATTTTCGGCTCACCCAAGGCAGAATCACCGCTGTTATTTGTGATACTACTTTATAAATGCTTACAGAAATATAATTGTTTTCTTTTGTTTCAGCTGGGATTCTCACCTACCTGGGTTTACTTTTAATGACCAGTTCATTCAAATATCTACTCGCCTGCCATCAGAATATATATATGGTTTTGGGGAAGTGGAACACAGGTCATTTAAGCGAGATCTAAACTGGCACACTTGGGGAATGTTCACAAGAGACCAACCCCCTGGTGTAAGTATCAACTTTTAACTATCTCATGAGGCAACTAAGACCATGATTAGGATCCCAGCCACTTCTAAGTAGGCTTGTACTTTGGTACTGAAGTAATGACAAAGGGCCTGGGGATCCCCAGAACTGCTACAGTGATTTTCTGAAAAACAAACAAAAAATTCACCATTAATTACTGGCAAAAATAGAAGATTGGATAACATTGAGTACAGGGAGAAGTGAGGTAGTGACCCAATTCACGATCCTCTCAACTTCATAGAAAGAGCATTCAGATTTAGTATTCCCTGCCAAATCCATGTATACTCTCAGTTTGTAACTGAGATAGTAACTGACTAGGGTTCTCTTTAATTTTGTTTTTTTTTTACTTCTTAGATAATGATTTGATGCCAACTTTTTCCTTTATGGCACACAGCTGCAGTTGTGCATTTTTATGAGTCTGTCCTGCTAGTTACATCTTTAAAAAATGTTTTTGTAAGCTAATGTCACTTTTCCCAATATTTCAACTTATTAATTAAATATACTTTATAAATATTTAATGCACTGCACAATTAATATCAACTATAATTATTCTAGACATATCATGAAAAAATATATTTGAATAAAAATACTAGCTTATTTCCATTTGCCACATGTGATGCTTACTTAAAGGTGTTCAAACAACTTTTTTTGTATCACACTATTTCAAACTCAGGTTATGAAGGAGGTTTTTAATTTATACCTACTTGAAAATATATATTTTAACAAAGTTTACTTCTTTAAAACCTTTCAACATTAGCATTATTAGGTTAATATACTCTTTATTCTCAATATATAAATTTTCTTTCACATGCTCATCAATTACTGGGATTCCCTGTGGGCCAAAGATGTCAATTTATTTGGGGATCATCATCTTACAAGTTTTGTGACTCTTGTCAAGTCATTTCATGACCCTCAGTATAGGTTTTTTTATTCTAAAAATAAAAAGATCTAGCCAAAAATGAGATTAAATGTTTTATAATTATAAACTATTATGTTTTCATTTTAAATATAAAATATATAAACTTAGGCAATTATATTAATTACTTAAGAGGTTGAGTGCTCTAATCATTGTATGAAATTATATTATTGAAAAAGAAGTGCAAATTTCTAGAATAAACTAACATATGTAATCTGTAGGAAGAAAACCAATTACTCTAATACCAATGGGTTTTTACATAAGTTTTGAAGCAGTTTTGTGGGTGTTACACATTTGTATACTATTTGCATGGTCTAAAGCAATAACAGTTCTAATAATGAAAAAAATTAATTTCTAAGGGAAATGCTGTTAATTCAGTTTGTGTGTGCAAGGAAGTAACATTTAAATTTCTAGTTTCAATCTTATAATGAATTTAAATATTACACTGACAAACTTTATATGGTATTTTCACCTGATTTTTTTTTTTTTTTAAAGTATAAACTAAATTCCTATGGATTTCATCCCTATTACATGGCTTTGGAAGATGAGGACCATGCTCATGGAGTTCTCTTACTTAACAGCAATGCAATGGGTAAAACAATCATTTTTAAAATTTATCATGCTTTATGTGACTCTTTAATAAATAATATTTAATGCATAGATAAAAAATATAATCATATTTTGAATTTCCAGATGTTACATTTCAGCCAACTCCTGCTCTAACTTACCGCATAATCGGAGGAATCTTGGATTTTTATATGTTTTTGGGCCCAACTCCAGAAGTTGCAACAAAGCAATACCATGAAGTATGACTAAATTTAGTTTTAGAAAAAAACATAAATTTCTCTTTATCATATAAGTCATTTTCTTAGTTCACAACTAATTTTTGTTTTTAAAGGTAATTGGCCTACCAGTCATGCCACCTTATTGGGCTTTGGGATTCCAATTATGTCGTTATGGGTATAAAAATACTTCAGATGTTCAGCAAGTATATGAAGATATGAGGAGTGCTCAGATACCCTATGTATGTATACAAACTTTTAAAACTGTGTTAAATATGTATTCTATAAAATCAGAATAAAATAAACACATACTTTAGAATTATTTTAAGCATTTGGCAATAATCAAGGCATAGTTTTTAATAGCACCTAATGAACTGGATATAAAATTTTTATAAAATGTCTTTATTAGGTTGATAAAGGAAAATGAATAATACCATTTCTTTTTCTACTTTCTCTCCAATTCCATTTCCCAAAGTTGTACTAAACAAGTCACTGTGCATTTGCATTTCTCATATAAACATTGAGTCAAATAGATTGCCAGACACATATTCTCTTTAGATGAGAGGAAAGATCCACAGAATTTTTTCATAAACCGATGTGACAACTTAAAGGGAAAGAACTGAAGGTGAAACAGAGTGCTTTTTGCCCTGGAATAGATGATACTCACAATGTTAGAATACAGAATTAGAGGGCTGGCAGAGCGCCCTTTCCCTCAGTGTTTGAAAAGATAATAATCAGATATAATCAGTCCCTTTGATTTTATTTTTTAGCGATATTAGGGAATCCTAGAGCTCTTCTTGGTAACACTTAAGCATGGAAATCTAGAGTGGTTGGTGTGTATAAGAACTCATTCTAAGAATAATGAAAGAATGTCATTATAACACATGAATACATATAGTTGAATTCAACATGTGGTTCCTGAATATATTATTATGAGGATATTAACTGTATAGTGGATGATATAGAAATATGCAGGTGGAATTTTTTTCTAGAATGAATTTTTTTATGCAAGTTTTCTATTTTTTATAAAATGGGCTGTCCACTATATTAGCCATATTTTATAGCATCTAGAAGAAAATTAAACTGCTGTCCATTAATAGAAAACAATTAACAATTTTTTACTTAGGCCTGATTTAAAACTTTCATGATAACATTAAAATATTTATTAGTTTAGACATATCTGTAAATACCTGTTTGTAAGCAATGTTTTGCTTATATTAGCTTGGGCTATTATTCTGAAAATGACTTTGGTGATAAAAAATGAAAATCTTACAATAATTAATGGATTTACTAATTCTTTTTTCTTCCTCTTTGGCAATATTAGAAGTATTTGAAATTACTCTATATTTGCTTTATGTTTCCAGAAATAGAGCAACACCTATTTCTGTATGTACTATACAAAATTCCAAATTGCCATTTAACATAATTTTATAGCCTTTACTCTTGTGTCTCCCTGTGTCCTCTAGGAATTATATGATAAAAGATGCTGATTTGAAAGAATTTTGACTCTTAAATCAAAATTAGTAAATGAACTGTTAACAAACTAGAACATTTATATGAACTTGTTCTTGGAATATTTTGCTTCTTTACATGTTACATTCATTTCTTGAGTATTGCATGACCTGATTAATTCTCTTTAGGATCAAGTAATGTGGCAATGAAACTTTTATATTGCTAATACTTTCATAATTATAATAAAATGTGATGCACTCATTCTTGTGATTCTTGCTCCACTACCACAATTCTCATATTTTTCAGGATGTTCAATACACAGACATTGATTACATGGAAAGGCAACTAGACTTCACAATTGGTAAAGAATTCCAAGATCTTCCTCAGTTTGTTGACAAAATAAGAAATGAAGGAATGAAATACATTATTATCCTGGTCTGTATTTATATTTTATACTTTATCTGAGTCTTATTATCTTGGTTTTATTAAGATTTCTCTCCTAGATTGAGGGATACAGGGAGGTGTTTCAAAATAGGAATTATATAACTTTGGATTCTATTCCCATACCTAAAACTTTCTTCCTTTTACACTTTGTTTGGTTTACATGGGCTCCTACCAGAATACCTTTATACTTGGTATATCTTTAGAGATCTAAGACTAAAGCTGGGAAGCAAAGGCAAGCTGGTTTTTAGTAATCACCCGTGTTGTAAACTGGCCTCAATTTATAGAAGCCATCACAAAGTGATGATGGATTTTCTATTCTTATACAATTCCCAAATCATTCTCTAGGACTGCTTTTTATGTTTCTCATGTTTGAAAATTTGCCTTCAATTTAGTGATTCAGTGGGGAGAATATTTTATCAATATCTCACAAGAAACAAGCTACACAGCCAGAAATCCCACTGGAAAAATAAAAACAAACAAAAAACTCTAGCAGTCTTGCTTGAAATCATAAGCTAATATATTTTCAAAGTTCTTTAAAAAATTTTAAAGAAATTTAGAAGACAGTGTAGCTAGAACAAAGTTTTTACCATCAGTGCATTTCTCTGACCATGTCTCTGAGAGCAAAATATAATGATAATGTCGTAATGGAAAATTCCAGTGTTTCATAACAACCACCAAGAGGCTATAGTTATATTCCATAGTAATCTGGTTTGTATTTCATTTCAATTTAGGATCCAGCAATTTCAGGAAATGAAACGAAGCCTTACCCTGCATTTGATAGAGGACAGGAGAAAGATGTCTTTATCAAATGGCCTAATACCAGTGATATCTGTTGGGCAAAGGTACTGAATTAACCTTGAAATAAAATACATAAAAAAAGCTTTTTGATTGAAAGTTTCTATTGAATTAAAATACTGTTAAAAACATATTCAGGGAAAGATCTATATTATGTGGAATGTAATGATTTAATAGCTAATAAAGAAAATAATGTATACTCTCTTGCATTTCATCCAAATTATTAGAAACAGAGAAAGAAGCCATACAAGTTGTGTGTCCAATACTATTTGTTTCATCTTTAAAATGTCTTTCCGGTATTTCTTGGTACATCCTGATTCATTATAAAATTACTATTAGTAACATGGTAATTCATTATTCATACTGCAAGAGTCATTGAAATGTGTACACTTCTCTCAAAAAGCTATCACTAACAAAATAAACAATGTTTTTTAAGAGCTATACTCATATTCCTGACTTGAACAAGGAATATAATTTACTATATTGCATTTAAACAATAATATTCAGACCTGGGTATCTCAATATATTTTAGAAAATATCCTGATTTGGCTTACATATAAAAGAGAGAAGAAAAACATATTTACTAGTAATTACTAGAATGAAAAAAAAAAATTCCATGGTGAGAGAGAGAATTAAATGCATTGTGGGATCCTTTTTGGATCTTTGACCACAAATAAGATCAGTGATAAAAGTGGTGAAATTCAAAGGGGCCTGTAGATTAGCTAATAGTAATTTATTAATATTAACTTCTTTGTTTTGATAATTGTGCAGTAGTTATAAATATGTTAACATTAGGGGAAGCAGGGTGAAGGGTATAGAAAGATTCTGGGTATAATCTTTGCAGCTTTTCTATAAGTTTGAAAGTAATTTCAAAGTTAAAATAAAATAGAAAAAATACCTATGATAAACTTAGTGAAAAATCTATTTTAAGAAACATGCAAGTATAGAATATGACATATTGGACATAAAAAGGGATTTTGTTCTTTCTACTTTGTTGTTATTACATATTTCTATATGTTTTCTTAGACTTCTACTCTCTAACCCTTTTCTCCACTATCAGTAACAAATCCTTTGTAGGTAATTACTCTGTTGGGGGTTATTTACATTTTTATATGGGACTTTCTAATTTCTACAACATAGAATCAAATTCCCAGATATTTAGCATGATTGAATTTGGGCTTGATTTTGTGTGTTTGTGGTTGGGGTGGAGGAGAACACTGGTAGGAAGGAGGCAGGGGCAGGGGTGGCTGTGGAGCTGGAGGGAAGGCAGAAGGGGATTTAGTACTAACTGAAAACCCAGGAAACATTTGCCTCACCATGTCACCAGTCAACTCAGATCTTCATTTCCTTTCAAATAAAAATATATTTATTGTTTTTATATTTTAATACCACAGTAGTTGTAGAAACAGTTTTAATATACTACATTAAATTAAATTTAGTATATGGTGTTCATATTCTTTCTTGACCAGACCTTTGGTTATGTGAATTGTTTTCAAAATCACTACCTACTACAAAGGTTAGCTTTTTATTTTTTATTTGCCATATTAAAGAAGAGGTTAATATGGAAAATGGTGATAGTTTGAAATAGCACATATACCAAAACAAAAACTGAAAAAAAGATAACTGAAATAATTACTGTTCTAGGCTCTTTAGTCTATTATATGCCTCTAAAACTCTGTTATAATTCATTTACAAAACAGTCATATTATACTGAAGTTATTTTAAACTGTTTTCCAATTTCTTCTTTTTTTGTTAGGTTTGGCCAGATTTACCTAATATAACAATAAATGGAAGTCTGACTGAAGATGAAGCTGTTAATGTAAGTTTTACATTCATTAACTAGATAACTAAAAGTAATTCAGCACACGAATTTAATGATCACTTTGACCATGCAGTTTGAATACTTTCCTTAAAAAAGTAGATGGCTTATTTTCTAATTCTTTATATCAAACCATATTTAAATAAAATTTATTTACTTTTCTTAATACCAATGTGTGTTAATCACTCTATTAAGAAATTTTATATATCTCGTTTAATGCAAGCAATAATTCCTTAATTTTTTATTATTACTTTATTGTGGTAAGAATACTTAACACGACATCTACCCTTTTAAATTTTTAAGTTCACAGTACAGCATTCTTTACCCTAGGGAAAATGTTGTCCAGCAGATCACTAGACCTAATCTTGTATAACTGAGACTGTATGCCTATTGAAGAGCACACTCACTGCCAACACACTCACTCTGACTTTGGAATGTACATGGGTAGGCTGGCAAGTAGAGGATTTTCTTAGTAGAGAGAGGAGTAAATCACCTCTTCTCTGCTGGGGTGGGGAGGATTGGATGTGAGAAAGAAAAATAAATGGTTGGGGTAGTGCAGCGATACATTGGTTCTGGAAAAGCAGTAAACCAGGCAAACACATTTTTTTAAAAAGTCAGAAAAATAGGCCTAACCAAAGCACTTTCCTTCCTGACCATGCTCTGCAATGGTAAAGCTGCAGTAGCGGGCTCTAAAGATAGGGTGTAAAACTTCCCTATCACTCTAAGAAGCACTGAAAGTGTATTTCTGTATATTTTGAACTGTTTCTTTTCAACCTATAAAGGAGCCCAAAGGCTGTTCTTTTCTCTTTCCCTGTATGTCTCCGTATTTTAACTCCCCATTGCTGCTGGGTGCATGGAGGGAAATCATATACATTTATGTAATTAAAGTTGATATCAGGCTGCCTTCATTATTACTTGTCTACAATTTCTGGATCTGACAGATACATGTCTGACTTAGGCACACATGATCTTTTTGATTTTATATTTCTGGGCATACATTTTATTTTTACAGGTTACAAGAGCTCATGTAGCTTTTCCAGATTTCTTCAGGAATTCCACAGCAGAGTGGTGGGAACAGGAAATTATAGATTTCTACAATAACCAGATGAAGTTTGATGGCTTGTGGATTGTAAGTAAACTTTGAGTGATTTATATTCTAAGTCAGAGATTTTCAACAAGCATGTCCCAGCAGGTACACTGGAGTGCCGCAAGAAATTTTAAAACATGTGATACCTCACTATTTCATCAAGGGCACTGACCTCTTCTCCCTTAGATTGCCACATAAAAAAAATGACAACAGCCAACACAATAGCCAACTGGTATGAATGAATCAAGATTATAATTCTAATAATGTTAACAAAATATTCTTTGTGGAAATTAGTTCATTCAGTTTTTTTCATAAAACTGTTATTCAAGGGACTGCTAAGATAGTTTACCAATTCAATTTATGTACATGAATGCTATTTTCTGAATATTCAAGTTGAATATTTTCACCTTGACCAAGGAACCAAAATAGCTTTATTTTCTAATTGTTCATAAGTGCTCATAAATATTTATTTTATTTTCATTCAGTGTAGGTATAAGTCTCACACTTTACTGTCTATGGTGTAACAAATCATAATCTGTTACAAATTAGGTGAATTTATTTCTCAAACAATCTCTTACTTTTAGGTGTAACTTTAAAATGTTTTAAAATAAGATTTGTAATAATATAATTTTAAGATAGCATAAGAAGTTTACCACAAGTAAATATTTAATACAGATTTTGTATAATACTTCTCTAGATTTTTGGAGGTGGCATTTCTTTGCTGATTTTGTAACAGGTTTACATTAATTTACTTAATTTTTTATTGAAGAAACCTTTTAAAAGGTGCTGTTATGTGCAAGACTTAAGGATATAAAATTGTATAAAGCATATTTTCTTAATTAATGGGAAATGCAGGTTTATTTCATGTATAAAGTTATGTACTATAAGTGATTCTATTAAAACTATCTCCAAGAATGACATATTGATCCAGGAAAGATAAACTTGTTTTCAGGTGGAGTAATCACCTTTAAATGTAGCTAATTTATATATTTAGATGATGATCCCTTTATATGCGGGCAGTAGGATCCTGAAATGTGTGCTCACATACTCTTTGAAATTTTTTGTATTTGTTATCTATATCTTATGGATTTAAAAACCACAAACCAATTTTAAAAAATCAATTAATACAAGCCTGGCTCCAAGGCATGAGTGTTCAAGAGAGGACATTAGGAGAATATACACTATTATAATTTTACATTTAGAAAACAGAAAAAGCATTACTTTTATGTGTATTTTATATCTACAGAGAAAAATGGAACGTTTTATGTTTGTTGAAAGTAGGCAATGAATTATAAAAGATTTAAGAAACACTGAGCTAAACTAAAGTCTATAGTGTCACTAACATGTCTTATATATTTGCGTTTTAGAATAGTGAATGTTATTATTCAGATATGCTACTTTAACTTATTGGCCCTCTGAATTAGAATACATGTTCCAAATTTGTTTGTTTACTTTTCTTCTTTTTTAAAAAGGATATGAATGAACCATCAAGTTTTGTAAATGGAGCAACTACTTACCAATGCAGAAGTAAAGAGCTAAATTTCCCACCTTATATCCCAGGTACAGTATTGTCGCTTTCCCTTTGATGCTATTGTTATTATTATTTATTTATTAGGTTTATATACCTTATGATGTAGGGAGCAGTGTTTACATTCCTAGTTCTCACTACCCGTCTACGCACTGGGCCACACTTCAATCCATTGCCAATATTGTCTAATACTGTTTGGAGAAGAAGAGTAAAAAACAATGTTTTATCTACATGAACAAACTTATAATTTGTTTGAAATGGTTACTTTAATTTTATTAAGAATTTTCCCAGATTTGGAAATTCTCAATATTTTTTACCATAAAAATAGAAAGGTTTTATAGAGATTTTTAAAAATGTTTCTTTACTAGGAAAAAATAATAAAATACTAACACTTCTTTGGTTGTCCAAGAAGTGGGAAGGGAAGGTGCAGTCCTCTTGTGCTTGTCCTCATGCTTTTATATGGGCAGCAGCTTCATAAACTGTTAATATGAAGTGATGGCAAAGCTCTGGGGAAAAACAAAATGCATTTTAAACTGAGAAAAAGTGGATCAAAAGATAGTGTTGGTTCTCATTCCCAGGGCTTACTATTACTAAATTGATTTTTCAAAATCTATTTAATCAGTATTTCTCATCTAAGTGAATAAAATATAATGGTCATTTAGGAGTACATTTATTTTTCTGGCTTTCTTAATTTATGTTAATTAGTAGCAACATTTTTGTTACTGAGGATAGTAAAATTCTTCACATACTTTTCAGTCACAATGTTAACCGTATCAATTACAATTATAGATTGTTTTTTACATTTGTCATAACATTGGCAGATGTACAAATGGTTAAAATAAAAAATGTTTAAAGCAAAAAGAATGGTTTTGGATAAAAGAATATATAGTAGCATTTTACACATTTTAATATAGGGTGCTTTATAATATATTAGTATTTTTTCATTGATTTTTTTCTCTCTCTCTAGCACTCACAAAAAGAACTGAGGGATTACATTCCAGAACTATGTGTATGGAAACCGAGCAGCGACTTAGTGATGGATCGCCAATTTCACATTACAACGTTCACAATCTATATGGATGGTCGCAAATGAAACCTACTTATGAGTAAGCAGTGTTCATAATTATCCTTTCTGACTCTTTAATATCTTTTAGATACTAGATTTAATTTTACCTACTTTGAAAGTCCTTCTTTGCTGTCCTTATTTTGTAGCACTTTTCTTCCCAATGTTCTCTGTAACTTACTTGGTCCTTCATGATGCTTAGAATAATCGTTTTTCCTCTCCTGTTCTCTCTTTCTCTCCCTCTGTCTGTCTCTCATTTATATCATTGTTTTAAATTTTTACCCCATTTCCAAAACAATCTTGAATTATTTTATTTTGTTCCCCACCATGTACTCAGCTTGTAGTAGCAAAATACCTAACAAATAGTAGGTGTTCAATAAATAGTTTTGAATGAATAAGCGAATAAATAATACATAATTTGATGCCACTAATTAAGGCATTAAAGCTTAGCTAAATCTGTTATTTAAATTCATTATTAGCAAATTAGAGTATGTGTGAATGACCTTGAGCTTCTCAAACTTTAATATCTGTATGAAACAAACTTTATGTGAGGCCAAAGATAATGGAACACAGATCATTCTTTTAGTATCAATTCTTTATGAGCACTGTCTAATAGAACTTTCTGCAGTGATAGAAATGTTCTATAATTTTGGGTTGTCTAATATGGTAGCTACTAACTATATTTCTTTTGAGCACTGTGCCTAGTGTGACTCAGGAATGGAATTTTAAATTTTATTTAATTTTAATAAATCTAGATTTATTAAAAAGCCCATGTGACTAGTGGCTACGGTATTGCAAAAGGCAGCTCTAGAACACTGGCTCTTAATTACACATTATAATCACCGAGAGATTTTTAGTTCTGGTTTAATTGGTCTGTAGTACAGCTTAAGAATCTGAATTTTTAAAAATTCCTCTAATGAGCATTGAGGGTTGAAAACCACTGCTCTAGTATATGACTGAAGTAGATAAAAGAATGAGAATCAGTTTGGATTAAAGAGTATGGGTGATATTTCCTCAGTGAGACATGCTTATCCTATCTCTAGCACCAAACTCTTTTCAACCTAGAATAGGTGAATTATTTAAGATATGATTACATGAATGAATGACCACAGATCTGTTAATCAAATCCAAATGTAGAGACACTAACATAGTATACAAAGACTAGGAAATGACAGTCTTAAGAGTAAACAAACTGGTCTTCAGCAATGCCTTTTATTGGGGAAAAACATCCCCCCCCCCC